AGAATGGTCCAAAAAAGAGAAAATATCCAGTGAGCAGCAGTTGTGCGGACGAAAATGCCTTGTTGATGTCAGAGATCAGAGGAAAATGGGCAGACTGGTTCGAGATGACAGAAAGGCAACAGTAACCCATGTCAATATGGACCAAAATCTCTGAGAAATGTTTCCAACACCTTGTTGAATTTATGCCATGAAGAACTAATGCAGGCCATAGATGGGTCAAAAAAAAATGAAAAAAAATTGGTCATTCGGTCGGTAAAAAAAAAAATCGTTCGACTAAATCATAAAGTTCACCCCATAACTTCTGTCCCTTGCAGGTCACGGCTCATGAGCAGATTTTTTATCAGTAAAACGATCGGCTGATTTGCCCATCATTGCCAGGAAAATCGGTCGTCAAAATCGGGGCGCAAATTTTCCAACATGACCGAAAAAAAAAAACTGTGCAAAAAAAACCCGAAAAACGGCCGACCAATTAACCCAACAGTGCGAAAGTCGCCCGATTTTTGACCCAGCTATGGCCGGCATAAGGCAGTTCTGAAGACAAAAGTGGATTGAACCCGGTACTAGCAAGGTGTACCTAATAAAGTGGCCAGCGAGTGTAGGTTTTTAGTGTGAGCGGCAACCAGCTGTACAATACAGAGTTAATCAGCACCCAATCGGGAAAGGAAAAATATAAGCTGGATTGATATTGGTTTCTAAAGACAACCACTTCCTCTTTTTTTTTTTTTTTTTACTCCCAATGTTGATACATGAGGCCTATTATGGTGTATATTTTTACAATTAAATATTTAACAAGCCACAGGACATCCTATAAAATAAAGCAATGTTCCTGGAATCATTTTAGTATAAAGCCTCGTCCTGAATTCAGCTGAATTGATGTATATTTATTTTTTTATTTCTATGCATTGTAACATATGGATTCCAGATGTATCTTTCCAATTCCTAATAGCCACCGAACGCAGTTACAGGTATTATTTTAGACTAAACATTTGCAGAAGTCACGTTGTAACTGGGTAAAAATGAGTGTAATAGAATGTTTTATTTGTTCAGCTGAACATTTTAGCTTTTTTTTGTGGGATGGGGGGGGGGGGGGGGGCATGCAGTCTATCATCAATTTAAAGACATTATGCTGAAAAAAAATGTTTATAATTTGCATTAAACACATGTTTAAATGTGCCTCTGCACATTGCACTTTAGTTTTGACACCTGCATGTATTTGGACTAATGGTCCTAATTTGGTCTATTGACATGGCGCCTTCTTTTCATCAAGAATAGTGGATGTCTTCACTGGTACCATTTTTTTTTTTCGTCAAGACAGTTGGCAGTTAAACACAAGGGCCCAGAACACCCAGCGCTCATGCGTTCAGCTATCCCAGGCTTCCTGTTAATCTTCATCCTATGAGGGGACAAAGGAGAGAATTGATGGCACAACATAAATGTCTGGCAGGAGTTGTAGGCATCGGGTTGCAAAAAAAAAGTGGAATGCTAAGAAGCACCGTCATTTGTTTTGGTGTCTGTTGCTGTGAAGCTCATCTCAACCACACTATTAAAGTGGTTTTGACCCCAAAAATAATAATTTTCTATATGCCAGTTTACCAATTCTTAGATTTGGTGGCTGCATTAGTTTCTCTTGTTCCCCTTTATTTTCTCCTCCTGATCCCACCAGTAAGGGTCAATTCACATAGGTGTTCATTCTGGAGCCGTCTGATAGTTTTTCAAACAGATCCAGAGTGTATGATCAGCTTTTATTTATTATTTATGATTTATGTAAAACCTTTATCCCAAAAGGAGAAAATGCTGTAACTGCTTAAAGCAGAGTTCCATCTGAAAAAAAAAGTCAGCAGCTACAAAAACTGTAGCCGCTGACTGTTAAAATACAGACACTTACCTGTCCCTCAGTCCAACGGTGTCCTCACCACGGCCATCTTCTCTCCCCAATGCCAGCATCTTCAGTGTGGGCTGTGACAGCTTGTGGCTTCACAGCCGGGTGCCCACTGCACATGTGCGAGAAGCGCTACGCTTTGTGAATGGCCCCGTTGTCTTCTGGGACCTGTCACGTGTCCCAGAAGACTACAGGGAGGGAGGGGGTAGGACAGCTTCCGCTTCTGATCGCCTAGGCGATCGCAGCGGAAGTGGGAGCGGGTACCTGTCAAATTCGGGTACCCGCTCCCCAAAGGTGCCAATCCTTAATGGGGAGCGAGGGACGAAGCATTAAAGTGGAACTTCCCCTTTTGGGTGGAGCTCCACTCTAAGGCTCCATGCACGGTAGCATTTTGTAAGCTCCTAGAAGCTGTTATTAGCATTCTTTTTCTGCTCCTAGAAGCTAAATAGTGCTATACAATGTGCCCATGCACTCTCTTTTAGGATAGTAGCATTTTCCAAGCTTCAGAATTTAGGAGCAGAAAAAAAAAAATTTTGTAGAGTTTTTGGGAGTGTTTTTCTGACAGAAAAAAACAGAACTGTCCTAAAAGCTCCTAACAGCTTTTTTTCTAGTTTTTTTTTTCGACATGTACTATAGAAATGCTAATAAAACACCAACGCTCTCAAACTCGTCTAAACGCTTTCAAACGCTCCTAAATGCTACTAACAGCTTTTTTTCTAGCTTTTTTTTTTTTTACATGTACTGTAAAAACACTAATAAAACGCCAACACTCCTAAACACTTCTAAATGCTACTAAAATGCTCCCAACAGCTTTTTTCTAGATTTTTTTTCTACATGTACTGTAAAAATGCGAATAAAACGCTAATGCTCCTAAACACTTCTAAATGCTAATAAAACGCCACTACAATCCAGCACAAAAAAAACTCTGTTATCAGTGTTTTTCACCCAGCATTTTTTTCTAGTGGTTTTGAACTTATAAAAAAAAAAAAAACACTAGTATGCATGGAGCCTTAAAAGTATTAGTTGGATTTAGCTATAATTTGTAAGGTAAGTCCATCTAAATCTGATGGTGCATCTAACACTACCTTGTCCCCAGACTGACAATTGCTGCTACACAAAGGTGTCTCTGTTACTCCTTCATCCAAAGTGGAGACACCCTAAGTCTAGGTTCACACTTATGCAAGTTGCATGTGATGCGTTTTTCTGCGTTGCGTTTTGCGTTGGTTTTTTTCTTGTTGCTAAGTAGATTTTAAACGTAAAACGCATCAAAAACATGGCAAAAATGCAGCAAAAACGCAGCACATGCTCTTCTGCAGCATTCCCATTGAAGTCTATACAACCAAAAATGCAACATTTTGCGTTCAAAAAAGTCCCTGACCCTTTCCAAAAAACGCATCAGGTGACAACGCAGAGATGTAAACCTGTCCCATAGGAAATCATGTTAAATGGACTCAAATAAATGCAGCGCTATAATTCCATGTAAATATTGATATGAAAGGTATATGGTATGGTAAACACAAATGTGCGCTGTGGAGCGCTAAAAATCATAAACGTGAGAGAACGTCTTATTATTGACGTTTAAAGTGCAGAGGTGACATAAATAATAAATAAATAGTAGATTGCAAGTCCAAAATAAATGATTCAGTGAATTCCGTGACTCCTGTGATTAAGAATGAGTATATATTGCACTAACCAGACAGCGCAATATAGTGTGCATTTGAGTAAACAGACCACTCCTGGTCATCTGGATCTGGGAAGGTGAGAATCAAGTGATCAAACCACCGCGAGACAGGTAATCAGCATGTCATCACTCTCCAGGCTCCAGGGATACACATCCATCCAGCAGGGGGACCACTCTCAATGGTAAGTGTGGCGTGGAAGGAAGGAATCAACCTTAGCCTCCCTGGCGGTATTCCCGAGTGTAGCTCGGGGTAAAATTTCAGTACCAAAAGCGGTAACCCCCGAGCTACACTCGGGCTTACCATGCAGCGTTGCTCAGGGATTCCCTGCAGCGCTTACCTTGTCCTTCGCTCCCGCGATGCGCCCCTGCAGTGTCCCCGGCCATCTCCTCCGGCCGATGCCGGCATCTGGCTTCCGTGTTCCGGTCCCTGCGAGCGTCGGGACGTACGGGGGCCAGAACTGGTGGCAAATTTAAAAATTTTAAAAAAATGTCATTTTCTAATAAACTAAAATTACATTGTAAAAAATTACTGTTTCAAACCATTTCACATACAATTTTGTCCCTACTGCTTTGTCCTGTGTCCTGCCTGCATTTTTTACTGTTCTTTCTGCCTGGAAACTTAGAAAAGTCCACGGCGTCCAAAAAGCGTCCCTTTAGGTCAAAAGCGCTTTTAGAGCCAGCTAGAGAACAGTGATATTAAATTAGAACTACTTGTAGAATTGAGTGATAATGATTTGTGGGGAAATTCGTCATCAGACACTGAAAACGATTTTGCGACTTTGCTCAGTGATGTGCGAACTTGGCGCTATATTTCAAATTTCAGTGTTTTTGGTTTGATTATATTATTGAATAAAATTTATTATTATTATATTATTATTTTTTATGATTATTTATTAAATTATAATTTATGATTTTGTGTTTCAAGTTTTACCCGGAATGTTTACTAGATTCTTGTTCGGACAGATTTCAGTGAGTTATTCCTAAAAATTACAGGCCTACAATAAAAAAATGACATATTTTCATGCAAAAAAATTTACCGCTTTCAGCACAGAAATATGCTCATAATCAGACCGCTAGGGAGGTTGGGGGCTCGCAATAAAACGAGCCCAAGCAGAAACCTCTGATGGTGTAGTATTTTATTTATAAATAGGATCAATGCACATCAAAGGAAAAGTGAACTTGCATCTGGCATAAAACAGAATTAAAGATGGCCGCCGCCAGCCTTCCTCGTGGCCTGTGCGACGTGACGTCACCAGCCGGGCTCCTCCCTTTAGGAAGAAGTCCCTGCAATGCTTCTGAAAACGCAGCCCACAGGGGAACCTCTGTTACCAGTACGGTTGCGATTTCCAGTGCGGGCGGCGTGCCATTAGAATTAATGGCACCCGCCAGCGGGTCCGCATTCTTCTGTGTGGGTGATACGGCTGCACAGATTTTTGGCACCACCCGCACATATGTGAACCAAGCCTTAATACTACTTTAAGTATTCTAAAGCTCTTCAGTCACATCCAGCATGCTCATTTATTATTGGTATGCAGCAAAAAACATCATGAGTAGTGATGAGCTTGGGTTGGGTCCAAACCCCAAGCTGAATCCAAGCTCATTGAAGACTGATGCTATCACTGCAGTAGCGGGGACTAGTACAGTGATTTGCAGCTTCCGCAGGGATCATTCCGGCAATGCTTATGTACATTGGTCCAAGCTGGATCAATCTAGTTATGCAATAAAATGTGTACCTAAAAGGCTCATTCACTTGGTCACATGCATATTTTTCTGCAAGGAATGCAGGTTCTTGCTAGCCAAGCTAGGAGAGGATCCAGCATAACATGCACCTAAATATAGACATGTAAATGCTCACAGTACATCTAATGACTTCACACATGTACAGTATACCTTTACATGCTTTCACATGTATTTCTACATGTCTATGTGCATATCTACATAAACTCTACAGATAGGTGTGGCTGTGTCCTACTTTTTTCGTACAACACTAAATTCAGCAAACACTTCTGTTTATAGGCAGAGCTGTGTGTTTGGCCCCATAGATTCCTATAGTGTTGCATTTAGATGCGTAAAAAACTATATGCTGTACGCAACAACACATGGAATCTTAGAGGCCTGCATAAATGATTCTTTAAAGTGGTTGTAAACTCTTACATATACCCAATGAAATGACTGATCTCAGGTGATACACAGAGATGAAACAAATCCTCCTACATAAGTTGTACCTATTTACCTTCAGTCTTTTCTTCTCTAAAGCTGTTCAAAGTCCAGAACTTTTAGGGTTCATGTACACTGTAGCTAATAAACTGATTTTCAGGAGTTTTTCTGCATTTTTTTTCAGCAGCCCCTGAACTTGTTTTTTTGAACGCACCAAACTTGCGTTCAGGAGTAGATTTTATCAGTGTTTCAAACACCAAACGCTTGTAAACGTGGCTAACCGCGTTTATAAGCGTTTGCGTTTATAAGCGTTTCTTAACTGTTCCATATCCAAATGCTGTCCAGAACCTTTTTTCATCATCAGAAATGAATGCAAAGCGTTTTCCATGTATTCAAATGGACCCGGTACACCAGCGCAGTCAGTTCCATGAAGGAAAAAATGGTAGAATGTGCTGCATTATGCTCATGATGGGATCCATAGTGAATACAACCAGAAAAGACAGGTCATCTCAACACATACTGCTCTCTCTGCTTCTGCTTTCTCTATTTCTCTCAAAATGTCTGAACTAGTTAATTTTGTACTGTTTTTCAGTGAATTCTTGCCTTTTTGGAAGGTCTCCTAAGGTTATCTTAAAAAAACCCAGAGGTTTTTTAACCTACGTTTTCCAGCAGTCAGTTTCTGTCGGTCAGAAGTGTTTTCCAAACATCCCGTGTACATGGAGCCTTACATTTTGTCTGAGCTTTCTGAAAACAAAGTGGTGGGGAGCTGAAGTTGTACTCCACAAAGCTCAGTGAGAGCTGATTGGAGGGAAGGGACACACCCCCTGCACACAAGAACAGAGCTGAGACTGTTAATCACAGGCAGTGTGCTAGACCTCCCTCCGCTGTCAATTTTTTTTTATCTTTTGGTGTCAGGAAAATCTGTCAGAAGTGATAGCAGAGGAATGAGGCAGCAGAATGAAATGACACTTGGTGCACTGGATTGAGACAAGTACGCACTACAGAAGGAGATGCTTTGTTCATATTTCATGTCTGAGGTTTACAGCCACTTTATTGTTTTCTTGGATAGCACTGTAGGTTCATGGATGGATTTCATTGCTCCCTGGAGTTGCCCTCTAAATAGACCATTTTGTATAGTAGTTCCAGTTTATGTGTTTCTTAACACTATAATTTTATATTAATTTTCCTTTTGTGCTTTGGGATATCAGAGGTCATTGTGACCCAGTGAGGATTGTGGAATGGTATTACTGAGGCTCTCCAGCTCATTGCTTATGCCAGTTTTCCATACAAAGGTTGCCTATGTTCGTCTTTCTCAATATGGCAGTGATCTTATATTAATATATAACATTCGCTGTGCTTGTTCTGATTAGCATCATGAGGCAAATGCTAAAGGTTTTTTCAAACATACTGCTTGCTGAAAAGGAAGAATTAACTGCTGCCTGCCTCCCTTAGAGGCCAGTGCATGCAAAGTGTAAATCTCTTGTGACTTGTAAGGGCTCTTTCACACGGACATTCCGATCGGGTCCGCCTGTCCATTTTTCAGGTGGACTCGATCGGAACCTCCATTCTCCTCTATGGAGCGGCAGGTATAAACAGACATGTGTCCATTTACACCCACTGACATCCGATCCAATCTGCCAAAGAGGGACAGATGGGGATCCAATTCCTTTTCTGTCCGTCGGATCGTGTCGGATGAAAGCACCTATGACACTTATGAAGCACGGATACTTACACCTTGAGCCCTAATGCCCCAGTTTAGTTTAACAATGAATTCCAGAAATTCAGCAACTTTGATAAATGTGTAAGCATTCTATGAGTTAAAGTGTTACTAAACCCACAACAGTAAAATCAGTCTGTATATGCAGTAAAGCATACTTGTTATACTCACTGTGGAACCTAAGGGGTTAATCCTCTTCATTGTGTAAAAAAGTCTGTTTGATTCTAACTTCTCTGATCCTCCCCTCCTTCCAGTGTCCCCCTCTTATCTCCTAATAAAACATATCGTTTGGAGTCACTCTGCACGTGCTCAGTTTGGTGTTTATTACAAGAGAGGATTTTTATTGTCTTGGGAGAGTGCATATGATCAACACAGGGCATATCAACACTGTCCAGACAGAGGTCAGGGGTTCTGCATCCTCTTAGAGCAAAATTAAAACTCATCCTACAAGCTTTAACCAGTGCTCTGCTGGACACTGATAGAAGTCACAAGACTGCTCTAACTGCTGATGAGAAAAGGTATTTAGCAGTTTATATCTGCTAAAATACTTGCATTTCCATGTTCTGTGTACTGTGGGAGACCAGATATAGTGAATGCAGGGTCCAGGGTATAGTAACACTTTAAGTCCAGTGAGGTGCGACTTCCTGGAATTTTCTCTATTCTTTACCTCTGACAGAGAGAAGAGAGAAGCACACATAGCACAGCCAATCACAGCAGTCGCATGATGAAGAACCCCACCTCCAGCCTTCCGAACCCCTAAAGGGCCAGCAAGGGCTGGTGCCAAGGGGTTATGGCCATTTGTGTTGGGGGTAGGAGGCTTGCAAAAAAAAGTGGACCATGGAAGGTTCACTTTAAGGACTTGGAAGTGAGTTTGAAGGTAAGTAGTATGGTAGAGGCTGCCCTTAAGGGGAGGGGAACTTTTCAAGGTGTCTGATATTTATAAGCAGCAGGTGCTCTTTAAATGCAGTTTTGTTACATAGCATGGCAGCTTTGAACACAATTCCTGTATCAGGCCTAACAACTTCAATGAATCTAATTTGTGTAACTTCAATGAATCTAATTTTTGTAGCACACCAGCCTCTCCATCACATTGTCTGATCGCAGTCTCTGGAAGCCAGATAAGATTTGTGCATCATTACCTATGTCATTGTAATATGTAGTTATGACAAATTCCAACGTGACAAACCTCAGTAATAGCCAACTTTTCATATGTAATGAGATTATTCCTAATAATCCTTTATCACAGTGTGATTGGATGGTGGATATTATTTCTTACAGCAGTGTTTCAATAGCTAATGGTTCTATAATATGAAATTTGCCTTTGTATTTTCCACAATGCATGCAACACCCCCCCCCCCCCCCCCCCCCCACACACACTTAGAACAGCATAAGGAGTCTGCTTTTTATTGGAGACAAATACTTTTCATGTAAGGGCTTCAAATGCAAGCATACAATTCAGGGGAACGTGTCAGGAGAGAAATGCCTGTGGCATAATGTTGCTAATTTTCTATCTGTCATGTTGATCCTCTGGATCTGGCTAGCCATACATGTTTAGATTTCTTGGATCCTGCCTGCAGTGAGCATTGGAATCATTCAATCCACCATCCACGCTGTAGTGCCAGCTATTGTACTGGTGCTACCGCTGTCTGAATACCCAGATAGTGACTGTATCCTCGTAGGATACAACCAGGGACGGACTGACCATTTGGGCACCTGGGCACTGCCTGAGGGCCCAGTGTAAGTAGGGGACCCCATGAGATGCCTCTGGTACCTTTCATAGACTTTTTTGGGTGTGGTTTGAGTTTGGGCAAGGACAAAGGGGCCCCATGATTTCCTACTGCCCAGGGGCCCCATGAGATGTCAGTCCGCCCCTGGATACAACAGATGTTTGGCTGACAAATTTCCACCTGGCTTCGTTGATTTCTAAATCAATTTGTGGTGTTGACATGGCCACCCATGGCCAAATTTCAAGCAATCAGACAACACTCAAGCAATCCTGAACTGCACCTTGATAAAGATGGACAGAGTTGTCTGCAAGAAACACAGGCACACAGTGCCTGCATCAGTTCTTAAAGGGACACTACCCTGAGCGCTTCACCATATTAGTTGGGCACCATATTAGTTGGGCCCCAATGAGATGGCCAGCAGAAGAGATAGGGTTTTATGTTACTGACTGCTGAACTGTTGTGGTATATTTCCACATCTCCCCCTAGTTAGGGTTGCCCAGTACAAGGTACAGGAGGGGTTTGTGTTTTTTAACAATTATTGTTTCTGCAGCATATTACTCCTGTTGCTTAATCATTGCAGTATGATCTTCTTACCATTTATTCATTACGGTAGATTTCTTCTTTGTTACCCTGTTGCAATATACTTCTTGTTATTATGGTTTCTAGGTTATTCCTGGTGTCTATGCACCTTGAATTTTTGGGATATATATACGGATATATGCAGTGAATGTTCCCCACTCAGCCAGGTGTGTCAGTGTGTGTGGTGCTGCTCACAGAGTCCAAACTGACTGTTTCCCTCACTAGTGCATGCGCCTGCTGCCAACGCTGTATAATCTGTATTAAGCATTAGTTACATACAGTATACAGTGATGTGCTCCGGTAGCGGAACAGAGACTTCCCATCTCACTCCCAGAACAAAATCAAGTCAGGATGAGCAATGCTCATCCATTCAGAGGTAGACATTGTATTTTTATGAATGAATTCATGGCTTCCTCTGATTGCCCCGAGGTGGAGAGGTGGGCGGATGACATCACGCTCTCCACCTCAGCCAATCAGAGGAAGCCTTGTATTCATATATAAAATACAAATCGTCCTCTGAATGGATGAGCAGCAGAACTCAACATGACTCGATTATGTTCTTGGATTGAGACAGGAAGCCCCCATGTCAGTGCTGGAACACAGTGCTCTATACTGTATGAAGCTGAGAGTACATACAGTTTATAGGGTGCACACATCAACTGCATGTACTAGCGAAGCAAATAGTTCTTTTGGATTAGCTTGGTCCAAACAACCTATACAAAGCAAAATCAAATGTGGAGTTAGGTGTTAACTTTATTGAAAAAGAAAAAAAAAAAAAGACTTCATTCAGCTTTATGTATATGTGTTGACATGCTGTGATATGCCCTGTGTTGCGTAAAAATGCAGACGTGATGCACTTTTACCCACCACACATGTATGGTACAAACAGGGCACATAGAGAACAATGCTGATCAACACAACCCAACACACTTAACGGGAATGAGCCCTGGCGTGAACAACCGTGTGTGCTCAGAAGTAAACTGTGCTCTGGCAGGAAGAGGATTCTATGTTTACGCAGCAGAGGAGACTTTTACGCAGGCACAGCTGCAGGACAGACTCCTATTGCAGAACATAGAGCAGCCAATGTTAAGCCACCCTCCATCCACTAGGGGGTGCAATGAGGATGTGGACTGCTGGAGACTCTAGAGAGAAGTGTGGAGGATTGTGGGAGGTGTAGTTTATGCAGACTGAACTGGCTTTCACAGGATGTTCATACCAAGCTTGTCACACATTGTAATGACCGATTCACACCTCAGATGTCTCCCACCCTTGGAAACAAAAGATATGTTAACCCCTTCACGCCGGATCGTCTGGGCGTGAATAGGCCTTCCTGTGCTGGGAGGTGGGCGGGGCTTAGTGTCATGTGGCCGCCGTGACATCACGTCACAGCCGGTCACATGATCGGGAACGGTCCCAATCAAAAGAGCGGACCGGGTCCTTTCCGTTAGTACAGCACATGTGTGCTGGGAGTGCGCAGGGCGCGCGCTCTCAGCACATATGTTTTAAGTTACATGAACGCAAATGTGCGGCCACTCGGTGTCTAGGCCCAGACGCCGGGAGGCCGCACATTTGCGTGCAGTCGGCATGAAGGGGTTAATGACCATTAACACCTCAAATTCCTCATGAAGACCCCCTGCCAGGTGGCCTTAATGACTCACTCCACCAGACACCTTTCCCACTCTTGGAAACAAAAGAAATGTTAATGAGAAACTTACACCTAAGCTAATCTCAACACATACTGCTGTCTCTGCTTCTACTCTCTGTGTTTCTCTGAAACAGTCTGAAATAGTTAAAAATTTAACACTTTTCAGTGCATTCTGGGCATTTGGGAGGTTCTCCTGTGCTTATCTTTAAAAAACGCTTCTAAATGCAAACGCACATAAACGCGCATAAACGCATTATGCAAACGCAGCTAAACAGATGTTTTTTAACCTACGTTTTCCAGCAGTCAGTTTCCATCGTTCAGAAGTGTCCCGTGTACAGGGGGCCTTAGAGGGAAAGACTTTAGCTCCGTGGTGGAGAGGGAGAGGGAAGAGGAGTGTTGTAACTTTCCTGGCCTCAGGAGAGGACAGAGATTATAATGCACTATTTTTTTAACAACTTTATTGAAATATCATAGAGCAGTGGTTCTTAACCTGGGTTCGATCGAACCCCAGGGGTTCGGTGAGTCAGTCTCGCGGGTTCGGCGGAGGTGAAGACCCACACCCGACTCATATGATTCGTGATGACATGCCCCGCTTGTCCATCATTGGCTGCAGGTGGTCACGCAACATCGCTTAGCCCAGTGGTCGGCAAGCCGCGGCTCGCGAGCCACATGCGGCTCTTTACACGCTTTAATGCGGCTCTTGTGTGCCGGGCGCCCGCTCCCCTCCCTCCTCTCGGGCGGCAGGGGACTCTGCAGCGTGATCCAAAAAAAAAAAAACAGCCAGGGCAGCGCTCTCAAATGCAATGATTGGCCAGTCTCGCTGCCACTCACATCCTGATAGCCAGTGATTGGCTGTCAGGATGTGTGTAGGCGGGGCAGCGTGACGAACGTGAGAGGAGCTAGGCTCCTCTCACAGTCCGCCCTGAAGACCGGAACGGCGCGGGAATACGGCGAGAGGAACGCGCGGAGCAAAGGTAAGTGAATTGACACAGGGGGGGGGATTGGCTTACTACTTGCTACTTACTTACTACTACTATATAAGGGATGAATTACTATGGAGGATGAATTACTATAGGGGGGATGAATTACTATATGGGGGATGAATTACTATATGGGGGATGAATTACTATATGGGGGATGAATTACTATGGGGGATGAATTACTATATGGGGGATGAATTACTATGGGGGATGAATTACTATATGAGGGATGAATTACTATATGGGGGATGAATTACTATGGGGGATGAATTACTATATGGGGGATGAATTACTATGGTGGATGAATTTTCATACCGTTTGTTACAACATATCTTTGCGAGCAATCCTTTTTGAGGATGCTGGACATAAAGACAAAGAAAAGGAACAGACTTTGTTGCGAAAATGACATGAGAGTGGCACTTGCCAAGGTAATGCCGCGCATTTCTGAACTGGCCTCTGAAAGACAACAGCAGAAGTCACACTGATTTGCGGTAAATATTCATTATTTTGTTTTTGTGTGAAAATCATGTTTTAATGGTTTTGTTCTTTGTTCTTAATGGTTTTGTTCATTTTGTGCACCTATGTATAAATATATACCTATGTTTTGAATTTTAAAAATCATATTTTATTTTTCCAATTAAGAAGGGTTCGGTGAATGCGCATATGAAACTGGTGGGGTTCAGTACCTCCAAAAAGATTAAGAACCACTGTCATAGAGTGACATTTCATTCATTTTATTCACAGCAGAGCAACACACTGCATTAAAGAAAAGTTTTTTTCAGTGAACTGAACACATAGTACGCAAGGTAGTTTGCCTTGTCTATGCATTAGGACTGCGTTGGGCAGACCTGTGCGTTTGGTGTGAACGGGCCAAGTGAACACTAAAGAAACTCAAAGCATGTACTCTTTGAATGTACACTATACTTGCCCTTTAACAGCTGTGCTCTTTTATTCCTGAGTATGTGTTTTATGTGTCCTAATAAAAGAAGGTAGCTGTATTATTGAGATGAATGCTGCTTACTGTATAGTTTTTAATCAGCGATGCTGGAAACCATTTTTCCTGAAAGCACTATGTACTGTTAGGCAAATAAGACTGTCTTTGTCATGAATTCTAAACACCGAACTCCAAATGCTTGGTAGTAAATTGTTTGTGCGGTTTTACTGTATATAGTGGAATCAGTCACCTCAACACCCCGCTCCCTGAGTGTTTGTGTTCTAAGAAACTAAATACTATTAATTTTCCAACCTTAGACCACATTTCAGACAAAACTCCTTTATACCCAGAAGTTCATTTAGCTTCTCGACTCTTTATAAGGGCCATTAATGCACAGGAAATACAGTCATCAGGGGCACTTCACATCTAAACCAAATACATTGGAGGAATAGTTTGTTATGCTTTCCAGATCCTATATCACTGTGGGGGTCCGTGATTGCTAACATGGAGAGCTGAACCTTCTAGCGTTGGGAGGTGTGTAGTGATGGTGAAAGCTGATTGGATGACTAGGCGAGTGATTAATATACATAATAGGAATTTCGTTTTACAGATTTGATCTGTGAGGTTGGCAAAAACAGTGTCCTACAACTGTTCTCCATAGCTACATCTACCCACAGGTCTTGTTGCTGACTGTTAAAGTGGTTGTAAACCTCAGACATGAAATATGAACAAAGCATATCGCTCTATAGATTGTACTTGTTTCAATTAAGAGCACTAAGTGTCATTTCTGTCAGCTGCTTGGTTCCTCTGCTATCAGCATGAGTCATTTCAAATTTCCCTGACACCAAGAGAAAATTGGTGACAGGAAAGGATCTCCAGCAGATTGACAGCCTCAGATCTGTTCCTGTGAGCTGTGTGAAGGGGGGGGGGAGTCCGTTTCCTTCAGTCACCTCTTAGGGCTCTTCTCATCAAGCTCTGCAGAGTATGACTTCAGCTCTCCACCCCCTGTTTTCTGAACTCTCAGGCAAGCTGTATAAATTCTTAACTTTGAATGGATGTAGAGAATAGAAGACTAGAGATGAACAGGTACAACCTATGTAGGAGTATTTGTTTCATCTCCATGTATCACCTGAGGCCAGTCACTTCACTAGGGATATGTAAGGGTTTACAGCCACTTAAGTTGGCCATACACTTTTAGGGCCTAGTGTCTCCTGATTTGAGAGGTGCAACCTGGTTTGGCTGGAAGCCCATGGTGTCACTTGCCCCCTTGGAGTGGCAACCCGTAGGTGGTCTTAGTATCACTATGGATTTGGGACCCTGCTGTGAGAATGAGCACTTGGCCACCAAAGGCTATCTCTTCTCCACTTTGCCTGATGGGCTAGGCTTTTTGGCTTAGAACAAGGCAAATGTGTTCCTTCATCCCCTGCTTGAAGCTTGAGTTGGAAGGGTCTCTCTTTGGGAGAGCCCCTAACCTAGTACTTGGTATTCAGCTTCAGATAGCCGAGCCTTTTGACTAGGTGGACCAGAGTGCCTTGCTTCTGTCAGAAGTCTTGCACCCTGGGGGGTCAGGGAGCTCATTGCTCTTTGGAAAGGGGACCAGTAACGCACCTTGTGCACTTTTTTTGTGTGTGTTTCACCTGTTTAGTTTTTGTGCACTGCACTATGGACTTAGAAAAAAAAAATATACACGTTAAAATATTTATAAAGGCTCAAGGTTTTTATTAAAGGCATACTATGCATGAAGGTAAGAAACCTTCTGCGTGCAGCAGTGCCCCCTGCCCCCCCTAATTCTTACCTGAGCCTCATCACAATCCAGCGATGTGAGCAACAGCCTCGGCTGTCCTGAGTCTCTGCCTCCTAGTTGGCTAAAACAGCAAGTCAATCACAGCCAGTCAGACAATGAAGAGAGATGGGGCGGGGCCAGGCCGCAGCTCAGTGTGTGAATGGATATACAGAGCAGCGGGTGCCCCCCTAGCAAGTTGTTTGCTGTGGGGGCACCTGCCAGGAGCAAAGGGCCAGGAGAGCCTGCGGGGGACCCGAGAAGAGGAGGATCCAGGCTGCTCTGTGCAAAACCACTGCACTCAACAGGTAAGTATAGTATATTTGAATTGCTTTCAAATTTCTCTTTTTCAGAAATCACCCGGTTCCCTCATCCATGCTAAATAGCATAGATGGAGAAATCTGTAGTGTTGTCTGCAGGGGGGGACTGCCAACTCATGGGGCCCCCGGCAATAGGGGATCATGGGGCCCCTGTGTCCTTGCCCAAACTCAAAAAAGCCTATGAAAAAAGTACCAGGGGCATCTCATGGGGCCCCCTACGGACCCCGGGCCCTCAGGCAGTGCCCGAGTTTCCAAATGGTCAGTCCGCCCCTGGTTGTCTGTTGAATTCTGACAGCTAGCACCCGTAGCTTTCTGAATACCCGAACAGTGCCTGCATCTAATTAGATACAGATACTGTAAGACTAACAATTTTCTGCCTGGCTCCTTCTAAAAAAGTTGAATGAAAAATCAATATTTGTCGAGCTGGGAGGTGCCAAACCGGCCACCCATGGAACAAATCTTGGCTGATTCTGCTGGAATCTGAAGAAGTTTGATTTGTGTATGGCCAGCTTTAGTAAAAACATTTCTTTATAATATATGAGCAGCACAGTGGGATGGTGGATAGAACTCTTCATTGCATTAGTCCTTGGTTCAAGTTTTGGCCAGGACACTATATGCATGAAGTTTGAATGTCCTCCCTGTGTTTGTGTAGTTTCCTGCAGGTTCTCTGGTTTCCTTCTGTACTCCAAAGACATGCTGGTACGTTAGTTGGTGTCTGTCTAAATTGGCCCTAGTATGTGTGCACTAATTGGCTGTTCTCATGTTTATTACATGCTCTATGCCGGTTTCAATCCAGTCAATTAGGGATGGTTCAGTTAAAACCTGGCGATCTACCTGCATTAAATAAAGAAAAAAAAAGAAAACTCCTCTCAAGCATATCAGGCATTGTGCCCAGTATAAATGAAGCATGCGTGGCCTACAGTGGTAGTGATAGAGACAGATATAGGGAATAGCCAGCACAGTAGAAATTCAAATTGATTGAAGTTCAAATTGATTGAAGTGTTGACTGAAGTTCCATGTGTAAGATAGGTCTTTTGCACGGTACTTTAATTATCAATGAATTTAAATTTCTGGTGTGCTGGCTATTCTCTACATTTGGCATTGCAGGAAACCTGATTTTTGTCTGCGGCAGTTAAAACTGAACTCCAGCCAAAAACAATTTTTATCCATTTCCACTACAGAAATAAAAGAACAATGAAGTGTGTGCAGTGTGTGTGGCTGCTTGCTGCATTATGCTATACTCTTACTTTCATTGCCCCATACAGTTCAGTCAGCATTAAATGTGTGGTGCTGAAACTTAGTCCCAGCAAAAGTACACAGATCACAGCAAGGTGCTCTGTGATTGGAGGAGGGGAGATTCTGATTCCTCCTCCAATCACAGAATGCCTCACATCCATTCAAAAGGATTTAAGACCTTTTCAGAATAGACCAGCTGCAGAGCAAGTGACATACTTTGTTCTGTGTACTCGAGCTGGAACTGTAATTTTCAGTGCCAGATGTTGGATGCTGATTGTACTATGTGGGGGGGTTAGGCAAATGAAAGCAAGAATTTTATATAACAGAGCAGTGGCCACACATTGTGCACTCTTCATTAGTGTTCATTTATTTCTACAGTGCAAGCAGAGAAAAATAGTTTTGGCCAGAGTTCAGTTTTAAAGTGGTTGTAAACCTCAGACGTGAAATATGCACAATGCATATCCCTCTAAAGTGTATAGTTGTCTCAGTCCAGAGCACTAAGTGTCTTTTCTGTCTGCTGCTTCATTCCTCTGCTATCAGCATGAATCACTTCTCACAAGTTTTCCTGACACCAAGAGAATAACTGTGACAGGGGAGGGAGCTCCAGCACACAATCTGTGATTAACAGTCTCAGCTCTGTTCCTGTGTGATGTGTGAGGGGTGTGTGTCCATTTCCTCCAATCAGCTCTCCTCACTGAGGTCTGCAGAGTGTAATTTCAGCTCTCCACCCCTGTTTCTGACAGCTCAGTCAAGCTCAGACATAAATTCTGGACTTGTAGAGACGTAGAGGAGAGAAAACAGGTACAACTTATGCAAGAGGATTTGTTTCATCTCTGTGAATCTCCTGAAGCCAGTCACTTCACTGGGTATATGTAAGGGTTTTGCAACCACTTTACATAAAAATACAGGTCTTGGACTCCATGAGCCTGTGATTGGACAGTGAAGGAGAAACAGTGGACTAATGAGCTCATCTCTCTGTCACTCTGCTCTCTCCTCCTGTCAGCTTTTTCTTTGTTAGCGCATGAGCACTGGAGCATAGCTGATTGTCTACTTGTGCAGCTTCTTCCTCTCCCAGTCTGTGATCTGCTGCTACACAGACTGTAAGAATCTGATGCCAAGTCAAATTGAGGTACTTACACAGCTGCCATGTAAGGTACATGTAGGCCTGGTTCACACTGTCACGCAGTTGTGCACTGGTTGTCGGGGAATCGCACCTGTTCCCACACTGCAACCACCACAGCCACATCGCGTTTCTCTTGCAAGACGCGCAGGGGTGCCATTTATTCTGTATGGCATCCCTACACATCTCATCCTGCAGCCCTCTTGTGGGTGCAGGAACCACACGGAAACCGCATGGTCAAGAAGACGATGCGGTTTGCCTGCGGATGCACTTTGGAAAAGGTGCATGCACCTTTTCTTGGCGTGAAACGTGGGCACAGCAACTCATTCAAATGAATGGGCTGCCATGCCCTCACTAGTGTGAATCGGGCCTTAACACGTGGCAGACCATGATGGTCCCCTGAAAAGCGAACTGAGGAGACAATATATCATTGCACAGATGCAGTTGTAGGGCAGTGGCGACATGGCCCCATTCTCCTGAATGGGCCAAGTTCTGTGGCAATGCTACCCCCTAAATGTGACAGGGAGTACAATTTTTACTGTATGCAGGGCATTTGTACACCCCTGTCCAACTGCCTTTGCAGCCTAAAGGCTCGCGTACACTGCAGCTGATAAACTCACGTTTAGGAGCTGTTCAGCGTTTTTTTTTCAGCAGCCCCTGAACTCACCCTAATGTTTTCCTATGTGTCCATATACACATCCTCCTTTACAGTCATTTACAGGCATTTGTGTTTACAATCGTTTTTTTGAGCACACCAAACTTGCATTCAGCAGTCGATTTTATCAGCGTTTCAAATGCAAAATGCTTGTAAATGCAGCTAAACGCAGCAAATCACGTTTATAAGCGTTTGCGTTTGAATTTTTTTTTTTTAACTCTTCCAGTTCCCAATGCTGTCCAGAGCCTTTTTTCATCATGAAAAATGCATGCAAAGCGTTTTCAAGGTGCTCAGATGGACAAAACACTGAAAACAGGATGTTCCTACCAAGATTGTCACACATTGTAATAACCAATTCACACTTCAGACTTCTCCCACCCTTGGAAACAAAAGATATGTTAAGGACAATTCACACCTCAAATTCCTCATGAAGACCCCCTGCCAGGTGGCCTTAATGACTCACTCCACCAGACACCTTTCCCACCCTTGGAAACAAAAGAAATGTTAATGAGCAACTCACACCTAGCTATAGTCAACACATACTGCTGTCTCTGCTTCTACTCTCTGTATTTCTCTGAAAAAGTCTGAAATAGTTAATCATTTACCACTTTTCAGTGCATTCTGGGCATTTGGGAGGTTCTCCTGTGCTTATCTTTAAAAAAAACGCTTCTAAACGCAAACACACATAAATGCGCAAAAACAGATTATGCAAACGCGGCTAAATAGACATTTTTTAACCTACGTTTTCCAGCAGTCAGTTTCCATCGTTCAGAAGTGTCCCGTGTACATGGGGCCTTAAGCAGAATTTCACTCAAAAGGAGAAGTTCCACTTAGGGGGGAGGTGGAAGATAGCGAGTGCCTAGTTTTGTCACATCAGAGGTCCCAGAAGATTTGCACATTTACAAAATGGGACTCGTGCATGCGAAGTGAGAAGCCAGCTGTGAAGGACAGTGGCTCGGGTGAGTACATTGCTGGATCCCTAGACAGGTAAGTGTCCTTATATTAAAAGTCAGCAGCTACATTATTTGTAGCTGCTGACTTTTAATCTTGGGGGCAGACTGGAGCTTCTCTTTAAGGGAGGGCAGCTGGGGGGGCTGCTCCACCTCTTGTTTTTACCGCCTTAACCCCTTGTGTAAACAAGCTCATGATGCAATAATTTATATCTGCTTGGAATTCAGCTTTCAAAAAAAAAGAAGAAAGGATTTGTGGTGATTAAGCCTAGCACAGTTTTAAAAGAACTAGCCTTTGTTAGGTATATCTATTAAACAGAAATGTTACCATCACCCCCAATTTTCCTTCACTATGAAACAACGTAACCAGAGTCATGTAAACTATCAGAGACAATTTGCCATAAGCTGAAGAGGGCTCCCGAAAGTAATTTTTATCACACGGAGAGTGACCTTCCAATGAACTTAGGCGTAAAAAGTACATTGGAATATTAAAAACACTCTCTCCCTGTCATCAGCAGAAAAAAAATAAAATCGTCTCAAAATTTGGAAAGGGGGGATTGGTCAAGGTTAAGACTTTCTGAAAAGTTTCATTGTTGCGCATGTGGAATTTTTCCAGGAAAAACAGACTTTTAAGTAGTCTCGGCTTACTTTGCTATGGAAAAGGCATTTCAAAAATGACTTTTATGAATGCTGCTTTGGGTACACGGCTTAAGAAATATACAATGGAATTTTGAGGGTAGATTGTTTGTGTGTGGGGCTCCTGACATCCAGTATATTAAGAAGTGTACAGAAAGATTTCAGGATGGGTACTGTAAAGAGAGAGAGGTGGGGTTCACAAGTTTTCCAGTTGGTATTAGAGAACTGACCTAATGCTTGGAAGACTTCATTAAGAAGTTTAATGGGCTTCCTGTTATTCCTGGTACTTTGAAAGCAGATTTGTTGCAGAAGAGTTGAATTAAAATAATAGAAATGTTCTGCACACGCTAACTTCGACTTATAGAAATCAGGTTTTAAACAAGAACATAAGGTTACAGTGTGTTAGACTTTCCCTGAATGTAACGCTTGCTGTTGTTTTCAATGTGTTTTTGATCAAATCC